ATTTAAAAAGAATGAAGTCTGAGAACTTTCTTGGTGTGTGCTGGTGTAACTATATTCATTCTTCCTCACTGTCCTAGTTCTTCAGGCATAAGAAATGAAGACTGACTAAGCCATTGGAAGACTTAATTTCATGAAATCTGAACTTGTAATAATAACCAGACATTCATATAGTGTTTTAAAATTTGCAAAATGCTTTGCATATATTATCTCATTTGAGACTCACACTATCCCTTTGAAGGCACAATAGGTGCTCCAGGTATTTTTATCATTGTGGACAGTGAGGAAACTGAGGCTTAGATTAAGGGGGAAAGAGAAGGGAATACATGTATTAAGCACCTAGTATGTGTCAGGCATTGTGCTGAGCACTTTATAGATATTATCTCATTCAATTTCATAACACCACAAAGTTGGTGCTGTTATCCCCATTTAATACACGAGGAAACTGAGGCAGACAGAGGTTAAGTGACTTGCCCAGCATCACAGAACTAGTCTAAAGCCAGATTTGAACTCATATCTTCCTGACTGCAGGCCTAGTGCTCTGTCTTGCCCATGGTCACACAACTAAGGGGAAGTGTTAGAAACAGAATTTAAACCCAGGTCTCAGCTAAGACAAGCTTCACCTTCTGTCTACTATAGCGCATTGCCCTTGTGGAAGCAATTATGATTACATTAATCTGTTTCTGTATTTTTAATGCAGTGAAAGAGGAGCTTCCTTTAGTACAATTTCAAAATTACTTGAGAAACTCATGTAAAATTAGTTTTCATGCAGCCATAGACTCCCTTTTGCCAGCATCATATTTCTTGTGGGTTGTTTTGTTTTGCCATTTGAAAGCTCCATTAAGCATTTTCTCACAGCTGCATCTGTGGCATAAGTTGGCTTGGTGCCTTCTACTAAAACGACTTTGCTCTGGTTTTTGATTCAGTCCTACCTGGGGATGTTGTTGCTTGGTGAATTCCTTGAGTATTGTTCTAATCCTTTGGTCTCTATGGAGTGGTACTGTGGGAGCCAGTCTTCTCTTTAATCCTGGGGGCTGGACTTTCTCTAACTAATTAAGTCAGACTGAGGAAAATCTTTAACAGGGCCAAAAGCCAACACATTTTCTTCCCTGTCTGAGTGCTTTGAAACTGAGCTTAGTCAGAGAGTGATAAAAGACCTGGGATTTCTCCCTGTTGCCTCCAAGGACCAAAAAAGGAGGCAGGCAGAGAGACAGACAGAGACAGAGAGAGAGAAGAGAGACAGACACAGAGACAAACGGAGAGAAACAAGGACAGAGAGACAGAGAGGAGAGATAGAAAGAAACAGGGACAGAGATAGACAGAGGAGAAATACAGAGAGAGAAAGACAGGGACAGAGAAACAGAGAGAAAGAGAAAGAGAGGGTGCATGCCTACCTGTGTCCCTGGTTGATCCATTGGTCTTTTTAGCACTGGTCAAACTGCTAACTCTTCAGGGCTAGGGATTGCATCTGGTACCACTTTTATATCCCTCCCACTCCCACCTAGCCCAGTTCTTTGCCCGCAGTGGACACTGTCCAAATGTTATCATGGAGACCCTCAGCTACCTCTGTTAATAATAACTCCCATCTACACGAGCACTCTTGAGTTTCAAAAAGCACAATTTTCACAGCAACCTTGCAAATTTGGCAGTGCAAATTCCCCATTTTACAGATGGAAAAAGTGAGATTGTGAGAAGCTAAATGACTTGCCTGTGACCACATACAACTAGGAAGTATTTGTGTCAGGATTCAAACCCAGGTCTCCTGACTCCTTATCCTTTCCACTTTGCCATGTGACCCCCTCAAATGAAGAGAGAGGGTTAGAAGGAAGAAGACCAGTCCCTCTGGACTATTGCTGTAGCCTGCTTTTTTATCTCCCTGCCTCAAATCTCTTCCAGCTCCAATCTGTCCTCATTGTTAGTGTTGTGTTGTTTCAGTCATGGCCAACTTGCCGTGACTCCATTGGGGTTTTCTTGAGAGAAATACTGGAGTGGTTTGCCATTTCCTTCTCTAGGTCATTTTACAGATGAAGAAACTGAGGCAAACAGGGTTAAGCGGCTTGCCCAGGGTCATACAGTTACTAAGTGTCTGAGGCCTTTTTTTTTTTTTTTTTTAACTCAGGTCCTCCTGACTCTAGGTCCACTGTGCCACCTAGCTGCCCAGTCTGTCCTCTATTCGACTGTCAAATTGATTTTCCTTAATGCTAGTGCTTTCCCTCTGAGATTATCCTCAATTTATTCTGTCTGCATCTTATTTATACATAATTGTTTGCATCTTGTCTCCCCATCCCCTACCCCCTTTAGAATGTGAGGTCCTTGAGTGCAAAAAATATATTTTGTCTTTCTATCTCCAGTGCTTAGCATTATGCCTGGTGCACAAGAGGTGCTTAATAAATGCATGTTGACTGACCCCATATTTTGTTCGTTGGTAAACTATAAGACCAGAAGTATTCAAGGGAAATATAATCTTTTATTTTATTAAATGATATCATTTTATTAAATGATAGAAAGGATAGAAAGGGAGACAGAAACGTGCCAATAGCCATTCAGACTCTTACTTCTGTCTTGCCTTGAAATCACATCCTTCAATAAGCCACATAGACAGTAACTCCACACGCCTACAGAACAGCGCCACTGAACACTTGTGAATACAAATGAGTGTAGCTAAAGAAAAAAAGATTCCTTTGGTGAATTCTCTCTCTCTCTCTCTCTCTCTCTCTCTCTCTCTCTCTCTCTCTCTCTCTCTCTCTCTCTCTCATACACACGCACACACACACACACACACACACACACACACACACAAACACAAAATGAAGCTGTTTTGCAAGCTTGCCGTAGACCATCCTCAAATCAGGAAGGATTACCCACTGCCTCTGGCATAGAGGCATCTCTGCCTTTAAATAACACCCTCTTCTCCTCCCCTTCCCTGCCCCCTTGTGGCAGTCCTTGACTTAAAGGGATTTGACTTCTAACACTGCACATTGCCCACATAGCCACGCAAGCAGGCAGCATATGGATTAAAGTACCTGTCACTCAACTAATTTTGAAAAAATGGATGCTAGCCAACCTCAGATGCAGCAAAGATCTGGTAGATTTTTTTACATGCCTGTGCTTGTTCATGGGGAATTTCCAGTGGAAAGAAAGGAAAAGGCAGCTAAGTGAACATTCCTGAATCAGGTTTCTCAAAAAACATTAAACATTATACCTAAATTTTTTTTCTTTAAAGCAAAGGCTTCTTTACCTGGGGCCTGGGAACTTTTAAAAATAAATTCGATAGCTGTATTTCAACATAATTGTTTTCCTCTGTAATCCTATGTATTTTACTTCATGCATTTAGAAGCGTTATTCTGAGAAGGGGTCCAGAGATTTCACCAGACTGTCAAAAAAGGCCATGACACAAAGAAGTTAAAAAAAACCCTGGCCTTAAAGTCTTCTCAAAGATGCACATTAAAATGTCTCCCAGCAAAAATGTTTCTTCATCTTCTGATGTGTTACAATAAAAACAATGCAGGAATTAAGAATAAGATAACAAGGGTATACAGTGGGCTATTAAATGTACTGTATTAATATACTGTAGCATATTAGTAATTAGTAATACTGTAGCATATTAAGAGTAATGTGATTGTTTATTAAATTGCTCTGCTTGATTTGAATATACTTAGAAAGTTGTACATTGTACAGAATATGGGGTCACCATTTTAGTTTTTAAATATGGCATTTGTAGGGATTTCTAGAATAAAGCTGGGCATCAGGAGCATGTCTCACTATTATGATATTGTTTCTTTGAGAAAATCTGATCTAAATTCTGTATCATTTAAACTTAGAGCATCTTTTCCAGAATATTGTGAGCATAAGGATTGTCTTCTAACTAGATTCATGGTACATCATATGTGCAGTGAAGTTTATTCTCTTGCTTTCCATGGGCATGCTTGAATTCTCTTTGCATATCAATGTAACACTGTAAACTACAGTAACCGAGATCTCCACAGAGGTTTCAGTTCAATTTTCCCTTCCCAAGCTATTTACCTACATTTCCTAACCTAGAATAGGAGTTCATTTTTGTGGAGATCTAGGCAGTCCTTTAAGATATGTAGTGATGTTTCCCAGAAGCATCTTGGGGTCTCTGTTCTGCTCTGTACTGCCCCACAATGTAAGTGCTGAAATCTCAGAGTTCTGTAACTTCCATGGAAGCATCCTCAGCCCTTCTTTGTGGCCCAGTAACCTAAATCTGACATATGAGAACACAGATCTATATTCAGTTTATAGTTCATTGAGCTGGAGCTGCTAGTACCCTCCCTCCCTAATTATCTCATTCTATTTAACTACCTGGTGTTTATTTTGCATATGCTTATATATAGACAAAGGATCATGCCTCTCCCAATAGAATGTAAGCACCTTGAGAGCAAGGATTGTTTCATTTTTAGTCGTTGTATCTCTAGTGCCTAGCACAGTACGCCGGGTACATAATTGTTACTTAGTAAATTGTTGATTAGTAGAGCTTTCATCAGTGTCGACAGAAATAGGGCAACACGTGACTTAAGCTTGTGCCCTTCATTACAGGAGATGTTGGAATTTGGGGAAGGTGAAAGGGGAGAAGCATTTATTAAGCGCCTTCTATCTGCCAGGAACTATATTAAGTACTTTAAGAATGTCCCATTTGAGCCAGAGCAGTAAAGAGAAGTTATGTTGTAAAGTGAATACTAGAATGCTAGATTCTATTAGCTATAAGTTTCTTAAGGGTAGGCATAGGTACCTAAATTATCTTTGAATCTCCAGCACCTATCAAAGTGCCTGGCATTTAACAGGTTCTTAATACATGCTTGTTTATTGATTTGTATTCCCCAAGTTAAGTATACTACACATAGTAAACTCTTAATGTATATTGAATGAATGAATAATTAGGAAATGCTTTCTAATTCTTCTGGCAGCTTTAAATATATGAGTATAAATTATATTAAAGAATTATTTATTAACCTCACATTTTATTCTGTCTTCTTGTTTTACAGTGAAGGAGACTGGTGGGAAGCCCGTTCCCTGACAACAGGAGAGACTGGTTACATTCCCAGCAATTATGTGGCTCCAGTTGATTCTATCCAGGCAGAAGAGTAGGTCTTTGTTCTTAATTTGTTGTTGTTGTTTTTTTTTCACTTTAATCAGTAATTTCCAAGAATTACTAACACAGTGCTAAGGTAGATACCAGAGATTTGTGTTAGTCCTTAGCCTTAGCTTCACTGTTCATCAAGTAGCAGCAGTGATGCTGCTCTGCTCCAGCACTCTACCAGTAGCAATAAGTATAGGGAGTACGTTAATATCCTAGGACCAAGAAAATCAGGAACAATGAACTACTCTTGCAACTCCCTCTGTGGTAGAGTGGTAAAAATGATTCTGTGGGCATCTCTAGTTGTAAGAGCTAGTGGGTCACAGAGGGAAAGGCTCCTTTAAAGGGTTTTTATCTGATAGCCTTTTTACTGATTCCAGTCTGGGACAAGGAAAAGCGGTCAATCTACCAAACATGGAAACTTGGTTCTATCACTTGACATTGGGGGTAATTACCCAACCAGAATAACAGTAATCTGGCCCCAGTGGAAGGAAAGTCATGAAAAACCAGTCTCCATACTTGATGTCAGTACTGGTATTCTACTTCACCATGAATAAAGGTTCATCTCAGTGGTCTGGCCCTATCCCCAATTGAGTCATTCTGCTGCCTTTAATTCCCCTTATATTTTTCACTAAGGAGATCCATTTTGTTTCCTGCTTTTAAATGTTCAGTGACCCTGAGCTCTATTTCCCTAGTGAATGAAAAAAATTACATTTAAGTTTCCAGGCAGATTTGTAAGCCACTTTGAGATTCTACAGGATAAAAGATGCCCCTGAAATGTCATATTACAGTTTTTAACTTCAAAGCTACAGTCTACAAATAAGGTTATGCTCTGAGAAGGGGTTTTCCTCAAGACTTTTGACTTTTACAAGGGGAGGGGGTGGCTAACCTGGCAATAAAAGCAGTATTAGCAAGCAGACTTGGGATATGAAATTAACTGTAGTTGAAGAAAACATTAGAGTCCAGCATCAGGAAGCTTGTACGAGTTCTTTCACTCCTTCTGCTCTGTTATAGCTTGCTTACAGCATGAATGCAAACCAAGAGAACCATGGTTCCCAGATAATTGGCCCAACAGTCTTCTAAACCCTTTTTCATTACTTTGAACTAGAAATGTAGCTTTCAGTACTTTACTGATTTCAGTCATTGAAAAAGTTAAGATAAAAAAAAGTGATCTCTTCTCTTTCTCTTCTCTTTGGTAAAATGTTTTCAACCTTAGGAAAATTTGACAATTGGCAGAATGCAGGTATAATGAATTGGACTTTGTTAAGCTAGTGTCTAGAATGAAGTGGTATAAACTATGTTAATGAAGGTTAATTATGACAAGAAAAGGCAAGTGAGTCCCATGTGGAAAAACAGCTACATGGCCTGAGTGGTACATTTAGTATTCAGGAGATATTAAAAAGTCTTTAATCTGTTGGTTAGATCATTTGAGGATTTATGGGCAACCATATACAAGAATCCCACAGGATGAAAAGGTATGGAGGACTTTTAGTTTACATTAGGGGAGGGAAGAACTTGCATCAGTGAAATGATGATATCAGCTGTATCCAAAATTCAAAATATCAAATATAGAAACCAGGCTTTATCATATTTAAATATTTTAAAAATTCCTCCTATAGGTAGACTATTTATTGAATTCTCTAAGATTCTTCCTTTCATTTTTCTAGCACCTGGTGCAGTGCTCAGAACTAAATAAATAAATGTACCTCATGCCCCAAAGTATACCTCTTTCCTTACATAAACTTTAACTAACTGAACTGTGATAAGATTTGACAGTACAGGAAAAAAAAATATTTAAAATTTTACAACAGAGGTCACTGAGTTACTTGATATGACATCCCTTTAAAATATATAGAATTTTTATTCAAAAGGGATATTAAAATTTCTTTACTACTTGATTTAAAATACAAATAAGCCTGCAGAAAATGCAGACACAAATAAAAGGGTCCAGTTATCCCAGAATGTTCTTATAGCTGAATCCAGGAGGGGACCTAAGACCAGTCAAAATCCAGATGTTCACTAGATGCTCTTTGTTTCACTAAATACTTAATACCTACTGGGTGAGAAGGGACCCATAAAAACAAGCATCAAAGGTAAGCAATAATCTTGAGCTAGCTAGAGTTTCTACATTTTTTGTGTGTGGGCAAGAAGACTACTGAAAATATCATGAATTTATTTCTAGTTTGACCTTTGAGTTTATATTTTTTTTTGCCTGAATAATTTTTTTTCTTTATATTTTCAAAGGCCTATCTAGGTTTAGGGTTTTTGTTTGTTTGTTTGTTTGTTTTTTCTTTGTTTTTGGTTTTTGGTATTTGGTTTGGTTTGGTTTTCCCCATGGAATTATAATTATGTTCACAGATTAAATGCTAGGGAACATAGAATCATAGATTTAGAGCTGGAGGGAATCCTACAGGCCATTTAGTCCAAAGCTTCATTTTACTGATGAGGAAACCATGCCTTGAAGTCATATAGGCAGTAAGTGTCAGAGGCAAGATTTGACTTCAGACCCACAAACAGTACAGCTTCATTTTTACATGGTGTAGGATCCCTGCCTTGGTGTAGGCAGATAGGATTTTTTTTTTTTTTTGGCAAGGCAATTAGGGTTTAAGGTCACACAGCTAGCAAATGTCAAGTGTCTAAAGCTGGATTGGAACTCAAGTCCTCCAGACTCCAGGGCTGGTTCTCTATCCACTGTGCCACCTAGCTACCCCGCCCCTTTTTTGTACTTTTTTTATTAATTTATTTTCAACTTAAGTACTAAAATGTGAATACACAGTAAGAAAAGAAAAACATTATAAAGTTAAATATTAGAACTTAATTAAATACAAAATAAGAAGAAAACAAAGCATTGTCATGTGCACAGCAGAATGTAAGAGAGGATTCAAAATATACAGCAATAAATTTCCATTTCAAGGAAGCCTGTATAATAAATACTCCACACTGTGTTCAGAGCTGTCCATGTTTTCTTTGCTTCCTTTCAAGTTTTCTTTCATTCTCTGCTGTGTACTTTTTACTTTGTTTTTTTTCCCGTCATCTTCTCCCCTCCCAGAAGGCTACAATTGAGCACAGATAATATTTTTATATATTTATATATGTGTGTATATATACATATACACACCCATATACATATATACATGCAGGTGCACATAGATACATATATGCATACACACATACATATACAATACATATATACATGCATATATACATACATAAACTTACACATAATTAGATATCTATAATCATACTCATATATAGACATACACATTCATATGGATCTATATAAGACCGTACTATACTTGTTTGTCCTCCGTTTCTCTGAGAGTGGATAACCTCTTCTTTGATAAGTCCAAGTCTTTCCATAATTTTCTAAATCCACCAACTCATCATTTCCTACATAACAGCAATATTTCAACCTTATACTGTCTAGTTATTTTAAATAATCTAAAGTAATACTGATTAATATAGCTGTGATATGTAGTGTAATCTTCCTGGCAGATAGGAATTTTAGCAAAAATTAGTTCCCTACCATCTTTCAAGGGGAAGAACATTATACTACCATTCGAATCTGCTGATTTTTAAAGAATGACTTGATGTAAGAGGTCGTGTAGAGTAGTGTGTCTCAAGCAACTCCGCAGGACTTACTGATGTCACAAATGGAACTTACTTCAGGGGTCTCTCCCTACTGGGAGATCTCCTGAAGAATTCATAGATTCTGCAATTTGTGTTGATTAAAAATCCCAGGAAAGAACTATAAAACCACTGTGGAAAATTAAAGCTAACAGTGAAGCTGAGTAGGGGGCAGAGGAGAGACGAGGAAGGACTGAAAAAGAACAGGCATGATTACCAAATAAACAAAGACTCGAATGACACCAAAAACACCAGGAGAGACCGACCAGAAGGGTATTTATATTCAGAGATTCATCAACTTTCATCCACTCACTCAAGTCAAGAGAGTTCACTCTGATTCGGATGTGTAAATGAGTGATTAAATATTTTCTTTCCTTGTTCCTATTTACCTTCCTAAAGGTGGTATTTTGGAAAACTTGGCCGCAAAGATGCAGAAAGACAACTCTTGTCCTTTGGAAATCCACGAGGTACCTTTCTTATCCGGGAGAGTGAAACCACCAAAGGTATGACGGTTAGGAGAAGTAGTTGCTTTGTCATTATTCAGTTTCTTCAAGTTAATGTGGAAAACAGAAAGAGGTTAAAAAAAAAAAGCTTACTTTCTATTATATAAGAATGAAAAAGCAGATACTATCACCAAAAGGTCAGTTCTGTTGTTTCATTTGTTTCTGGACTCCATAATTAGAGTGGGATAGGGGACTAGGTATAAAATGAAGGGCATTCCCCTCTGCTACCACCCTTCGAGTAAACCACTTACCAAGATCAGGGATATTAGAATGTAGGCTCCTTGAGGAAAGGGACTCTTTTTTATTTTTTTCTTTGTTATCTTCAGTTCTTTGCATAGTGCCAGGCTTATAGTAAGTATTTAATAAGTGCTTATTAATTAATTGTTATGTGGCTTTATCCATGCAAAGAATATAGAATCATAGAATTTCTGGGCCATGTTAAGTTTCACCTCCCTTCAGAAACTCTTGGTTTTTCAGACAAAAATCATACAGTTCTCTTGGCAGAGGGAGAGTAGTATTTGGCCTCCTCCTGGTTATGTGCTTCTCCTCTGTCACATCCTTTTCCTTGTTAATTCACAACTCATTAGCAGCCTTAAGAAGAGGTGGACAAGGAAAGGCAGGCGAGTGTTTAACTCTCTAGTCAGTCAATTTAGCTATTAGTTATAGGCTCTTGTAAAATGTTTGGCATGAGGGAGGAAATTGTAATTGGATAAATGGAGGTTTTAGTTTATTTGGGCATTGTCTTCGTCTACCAGGTAGACTATGACTGTCCTGGATGATACTTAGGCAAGAGAGAAGGGAATGCAGATCGAATGATAATTCTTAGCTTGTGTTAATGGAATGGGAATGTGTTTAGTAAAGCTATGGGCCAGCAGCATACTAAGCCTTAGTAATACAATTAGAAAAGTGAGGCAAGCCTTTAGGCAGTGCTGTGCATTGGAAAGAATATTGGATTTACAATCAGGGGATATGGGTTTGAATTCTGGCTCTGCCACTAATTACCTTGGGCAAATCATTTCACTTCTCTTAATCTTCAATTTTCTCAACCATAAAATGAAGGTATCAGGAGTGGATTATTTTAGAAGAATGAGCACTGCACAGTGTTCAACTAATTTTGTTTTTTCCTACCTTTGTGAAGGAAAAGCAGTGGTAGAATGGGTGGATGAATGAAAAAATAAAGGAATAAAAAGGTCTTATATTAAGCATTGTACTAAGAGTTGAGGATACAAAAGTAAAAACAATCCCTCTTCTCAAAGATGTTATTTTCCAACAGAGGGCAGTAGTGTCCAGACAGGGGCACTTTGGTAAAAAGTTACAGGGATGGTAAATGGGGACATAGTGGAGTAAATTAGCACATCTTTGCATCAACATTGGAAGAGATGGTTTGATCATGGTTCCAGAACTGGAGTGGGGAGGAAGGTATGAACTCTGTGGCTAGCAACGGTGGTGAGGAGAGAAGGAAATGAAGGGTGGCTGGAGCTTGCCTGAAATAGCAGAATGCCTGGCATATTGTAAGCATTTAATAAATGCTTATTCTATTCCATATTACACACACACACACACACACACACATAACATATATATTGCAAAATATGTGTATTTATAATAGCTAATGTTTACGTAGCACTTGAAGGTTTGTAACATACTTTACATGTTATCTCCTTTTATTTCATTATATATGTGCATATATGCACATACACACACAGATATGTGTACATATATACCATATATACATATGTGTATATACATACATGTGTGTATTTACATGCGTGTGTATATATGTGCATGTGTGTTTACGTGCATGTAAGTATTGTGTGAACACACTGTCTTTATAGATATAGGTAGAGACAGATAGATAAATAGATAGATGCATATGTCTTATTCCCCTTCCTCTAAGTTTCAGGAAGGCTGCAAATATTTCATATCTATACTAAGAGCCTAGTACAGTGTTCTCTCTGCACATAGAAGGTATCCATATGTATTCATGTATACACACATATTTATACATAATACATATTTAGATATAACACAAGCATTATAGACGTGCATGACAATATTATATAAGTACACTAGAGAGGTATAAAACAAAATGATTAGAATGTAAATTGGGTGGGGGTTTTTTGCATTGGGAAAGGGTTAAGGTAATGATGAATGAATGAGTGGATAGAAGATGGGATTAGAGATAGAAAGATAGAAGAAAAAAGGTTAGAGATAAAAATAAGAGAAAGACAGTGTTAGAGATAGAAAGATTAAAAAGTATATGTATGTGTATATACATATGCGTCTCTCTTTGCTGAATGATCAAAATAAGTTAAATGAGTCTTTAAGAAAAACAAAAAGTAGCTCTCTTTCCTTGTGGCCCCGGGCGGCGGCAGCATGGGTAAGTGCCGTGGTCTTCGTACTGCTAGAAAGCTCCGAAGCCACAGGACAGACCAAAAGTGGCATGACAAACGATATAAGAAAGCTCATTTGGGCACTGCCTTGAAGGCCTACCCATTTGGAGGCGCATCTCACGCAAAAGGGATTGTCTTGGAAAAAGTTGGTGTGGAAGCCAAGCAGCCCAATTCTGCCATCAGGAAGTGTGTGAGAGTCCAGCTGATTAAGAATGGCAAAAAAAATCACTGCCTTTGTTCCCAACGATGGCTGCTTGAACTTTATTGAGGAAAATGATGAAGTTTTGGTTGCTGGATTTGGTCGAAAAGGTCATGCAGGAAAAGGTGATATTCCTGAAGTCCGATTCAAGGTTGTAAAAGTTGCAAATGTTTCTCTTCTGGCCTTGTACAAAGGCAAGAAGGAAAGACCAAGATCATAAAAATTGTATGATGTCTTTGTCATAGTAAAAAATTTTCATGTTAAAAAAAAAAGAAAAAAAAAGAAAAACAAAAAGTAAATCCCCAACATGACAACAGCTACTGATTCTGTGCACATGCTACAGGTGCCTATTCACTTTCTATCCGTGACTGGGATGATATGAAAGGAGACCATGTCAAACATTACAAGATCCGAAAACTTGACAATGGTGGCTACTATATCACAACAAGAGCCCAGTTTGAAACTCTTCAGCAGCTCGTCCAGCATTACTCAGGTAACTTCACTGCTATTTAGCTCGCAAGTAATGGTGAGAGAGGGAAAAGTTTTAACGGATGGCACATACTACTGCTGCTACTACTACTACTGTTTTAAAACCCTCATATTTATGTAATGCTTTTAAGCCTTGAAAAACATTTTCTTCACAGCCACCCTTGGAAGTAGAAATACATGTATTATTAGTCCCATTTTTCATAGGAAGAATTTGAGGTTCTGAAGTGACTTGCTCTGCTGTTACATACCTAGTAATTGTCTGAGGCACAACCCAAACTCAGCTCTTCTTACCCCAGCTGTAGTGACTTCACACTTTCTACTGTACCAGGAGGAGAATGTTTTCTTTGCCAGCCCAATGTGATAGGACCTTCGGTGGCTGACTTAGCTAAGCCGTGCTTTCTTCTCACTTGTGGGTCTTCAGAAATTTCCTAGGATATTAGTTCATATACTGTTGTAAAGTCTTCAGGATACCCAGAGTAGGAAACAATGGAAATACTTTGCAGATGTTTATCCTAAAATCTCCGAAGTGCTTTTCTTTCCACAAGCACCTCAGTTAACATACTCAGGAACCACAGAAATAAGATTCCAAGTATGGAATTTTAGGCCTTGCTTTAAACAAAACATTACTGCCATAATCGCTGTGCACATAGATCCTGTTCTCTTGACAAGACTAATTGTCCAACCCATTGAGAGTAGTGTTCTGTACCCAAAAGGGCTTTCTTTTCTAAGCTAACTTAAAGTCATCTCACTGTAATGGTGCAAACGATACTTTTAAAATTGTACATCTTAACCTCCAGTAGTGCTACTAATTTTAGTGTACCTGAAAATTGGCAACTTTTGAATGTGGGGAAGGTAACTTGTACATGGCAGCATTTTTGATCATTTTTGTCCAGATAACACTGGAAAGTAAAGTCTCTTTGAAAATAAGTAATATATAATTAATTAAAAATAATCAGCTAGCAGTTTCTTTAGACCTACACATACAGCTTGAAACGTTCTAAGGCCTGGTGGGTCATCCTGCTCTTCACCAAGACATTACTCTTACAGTTCCTGCCCCATTCACATTCATCACTTCTTCAACACACAACACAGTAGCACCAAGTGTGTACCTATTGGTCTCAGGCTTTAACAAGCACCTGAATAAATGTAAAAAAAAAAATTGAAGTGATATTGGTTGATGAGATCCATTCCCTCCCCCTTGGATATGGCAGAAATCTTATTAAAGATGTCATATCTTGAGAAGCAGTGAGGCATAGAAAATGCAAGGCTGACCTTGGAGTCAGGAAGGCTAGCTGTATGGTCAAAGACAAGTTGCTTAAACTCTCAGCGTCCCAAGGCAACTCTCTTAATATGTAAGTTACAAGTGAATTGCTGATCTGCAGTTAGTGGAAGAGGTTTCAATACTAGGAAGCCCCTACCAATGAAATTATAGGTCTGAATGCTCTCCCCACCTTTCTCTGCCCCCTCCCCAAAAAATACTTTTGCTTTAGGGGAATTTTGATAAGAATAATTTTGGGAGGAAGGAAGGAAATAGAGCAGAATATCTGAGTTTAAATAATACACTTGGAATGCCCAGATGTTATGTGGATTCATAAATGTTTAAATCTATTTTATTATAACCACATATCAGCTGCATAGTAGAGTCTCTGGTGTTTTGATTCTTTGAAAACATGTTGTAGAAGGCACCTTAACAGCATCGTAAAGATGAGAAAGGAGATAGTCTTATAAAAAGCAGCAGAAAAAAATTTTTATCTTATAAAAAAAAAATCTTAAGCTAGACTTGCTTTTCCACAGCCTCTTTTTTCCCCTCATTTCTCTTGTTCTCTTTTACATAAGCCTGACCTTATAGTATAGTCAGATAAATTAATTCCTACCCAAACTTCACAGGACCTTATTCCATTTAAAAAAAGAAAGAAAAAAGACAGCTGTGTCTACTGTTCTCAATTTTCTGGGTCTTTTAAAATATCATTATTATCAGCCTGTCCCACCCCTTTGTGTTAGCTGCATTTGAATAAGTTACAGTTTCTGTCATCCAGATTCTTAGCAAAAGATAGGACTGTCCAATGTGTTTTTATTTTTTTTCCCGTTTACCGGTTTCTTTTTGCTGCTGACATTCACTACAAAGCCTAAACTAAAGGTCATTTTCCATATTTGCCATCTCATTATTATCATATCTTCAGTTCTGGACCCTGAACCTGTCTTAACATATGTTCTATGATCACATTAGCTTTTTTGGCTACAATGTTGACTCATTTATTTTGAAGTCTGCAAAGACTGAAAATTTTTTTTTCAAACTAGTTGACATTAAGCCATGCCTACCTCTCCCCATACTCCCCACATTGTGCATGAGAAGCTGATTTTTCTTGGAACCCAAATGTAAATCTTTACATTTATCCCTGTAACCTTATTAGATTGGGCTCAGTGTTCTAGCTTGTCATGATACTGCTGTGGATCCTTACCCTTTCGTCTAACATAATGGAATCTCTCTTATAGTTTGTGCCATCTGTAAATTTGAGAGGCCTGTCAATTAATTATGCCATAATCTAAGTCATTGATAAAAAAATGCTAAAAGCACAGATCCTTAGGACAGTTCTCTATGGCAATGATGTCTAATTCAGATAGAAATGATACCTGAAGCCACATATTGCCTTAGAAAATCACAAATGAACATTATCTATGTTGTATTATATTTTTATTTATTTTGTTAAACATTTCCCAGTTACACTTTAATCTGGTTCCTGTACCAGCTAGTGTTTGACATCTCTGCTCTATAAACCTCCTTCCAAGTTGGTATTGATGACCACTATTATAGCTTAATGTGGCACTTCAGTTGGCATAGTGGATAGAATGCTGGCCTTGGAGTCAGGAAGATTCAACTTCCTAAGTTCAAATCTAGCCTCAGACACTACCTAGCTGTGTGACCCTGGGCAAGTCACCTAACCCTGTTTGCCTCAGTTTCCTCATCTGTAAGATGAGTTGGAAAAGGAAACTCTGGTATCTTTGCCAAGAAATCCCAAATGTGGGTCACAAAGAGTCAGATATGACTGAAAACAACTGAACAACAATTTTAACCTAAAAGCCAAAAAAAAGCACATCTCAAAATGTCTTTTAAGTCAGAAGTTGGCAAACTAGACCCTCCACTTATTTTTGTACAGGAGGAAACTAAGAATGTTTTTTACATGTTTAAATAAAATTTTATTGTGTTTAAAAATGTAAAAAGCTACTCTTGGCCCATTGGGCTGGATTTGGCCCTCAGCCATAGTTTGCTGAGCTCTATTCTAATCACTGCTTTTAATTTTCTTTTTCACTGTGTTCACATTCTGTTTTCACATTCTCAAACTTGTCTGAGCTTTTCTTTCTCTGGCTTTTCATGCCTCCCCAGTCTAGTGTTTCCCTGTCCTAGGCCACTCTGTGATTGTATAGTACAGAGCCTGGCTCATAGTAAGCGCTTAATAGATGCTTCTTGTTTTGACTTACATATGAATCCAACCTCAAAGCAAAATAACAGACCATAGTGTCCCAGACAGCAGTGGTATACACTCCACTCTCAAATTCTGTAGAGTTTTGTTTGAATACCAAAAGAATGACTAGTGAAGTCTGACCTCCTTTCCCCATGCCCCAGGTGCAGTTTTTCATGCTATTAGTTCAGAACAATCTGCTGTTCTGTAAAACTGTAAGCTCTAACACTAGAGTTGTAGTTATAAATATATTCATTCAGAATACACAGGACCCCCAGTCTTCCAAGCAGAGGCCTAATGATTGAGGGAAGGGAGAGGGAAAGAAAGAGGAATGTATTCATGTAAATCAAAGGTGCCATCTGCCCACTTATGGCCTCCACTGAAACATAAGGATGCCTTTTCAAGGTTCCAAGAAAGTATCTAATCAGCATCTGGAGCTGAAGCCTTCCATCTTACCTAGAGAGAGCAGAAACTCAGATTCAAAGTAAATGACCATCCTTTAAGGATTGAATAAGGGGGGGGGGGAACCCATGACAAATTTTCCATTTTTCTCTGCTCTATCTCAAACAAATGTGTTTCCGTGTGTGATTTCTAATCTCCCCCCACCCAAGATGCTTGTGGTGCCCTGCTGACGTAACAGTTGTTGTGAGTAGCTGTTGTTCACTGGTGTTGGGTTTATATACTTGTTGTAAATGTTTTGTTTCACGTATTACGCTTTTCTTTTTCCTCTCTGGCTGTTGGCTCCGTTGCTGCTCCTTCAGAGAGAGCTGCAGGCCTTTGCTGCCGCTTAGTAGTTCCCTGTCATAAAGGAATGCCGAGGCTTACTGATCTGTCTGTCAAAACCAAAGATGTCTGGGAAATTCCACGTGAATCCCTTCAGTTGATCAAGAGACTGGGAAATGGGCAGTTTGGGGAAGTATGGATGGGTATGCTGTAACTCAGTTATTTTATTATTATTATTATTATTATCTTCCCTTTTGGGGAAATAAGGTACCAGAGATGGAAGGTGAAGGAAGAACACTTTATGACCAGCCCAAAATAAAAAAGTTCTGAATACTTGGGTGATAGAGGCGATGTTTGGACGCTGAGCTTTTTTCATTTCAGAAAATCCAAAATTTTATGTACTCTTTGTGAGTTTTCACTTTGGGAAATTGGCTTAATTTTTATTGTAATGGTGAATGGTCAATTAATAAAGCAAGGAAGAAAGTAATTTTGAAAGCTGGCATAAAGTCTCCGCTCTCGGTTTCTGACTAGGAATGTACCGAAGGGCGAATCACCTTCCATCTTTTCCATTGCATGCATAATTGTGGATTGTAAGAACTTTGTTTTCTTTATTAATTCCCTTTCCTGTAGAGAAAGCTGATGGTTTGTGTTTTAACTTAACTGTGGTTGCCTCGAGTTGTACTCCACAAACCGTTGGATTGGCTAAAGATGCATGGGAAGTTGCTCGGGATTCATTGTTACTGGAGAAGAAGCTTGGTCAGGGGTGTTTCGCTGAAGTGTGGTTTGGTAAGGCAGAGAGTGTGTTTTGCTTTGGATGCCCCTTAAGAGCAACTTGGGAGAAAGACTTTGAACAGAAACATACCAACACCAGTATATTCATCCACCTTGTCTAGGATACCCTGAAGATTGGAGTAAATGGGCCCACCGAAGCATAGTTGGCAGCGTGTGGCTGTTCTGGGTTGTGATGCTCCAAAGATGACATCCATAGATCTCATTATTCCAGGCTCATCTTTCTCTTGATGATTCCCATGCATTGTAGGGACTGTTGGCCGGGAAAACAGCATAGAATTAAAGCATCTTTTTCTCTTAAGAGATAAGAACGTAAGATGCTATAGAGAAAAGACTTCCACTTTCATTCACTTAGTTGTTAATGACAGGGCACAGTTCAAGGAGTCTTTGCCTACAGATTGTCTGCAGGTTTGTACTCCATTCAGACAAGCATCTGAGATGAAGGTAAAGCATCCTTAATTGAGTTGACAGTGGATTCTTCTTTCTCAGAGCTCTTTTAAAATGGAATAGATATCATCATCCTAGCACTTAGCATAGTGCCTGACACACAGTAAGCACTTAATAAATGTTGATTGATTGATTGAGTGATTGATCATCCTCGTATTAGACATGCATAGAGCACTTTAAAGTTTGATTCGTTCTATGCATACATTATCATCTTCAAGCCTCACAAAAGTCCTGTGAGGTAAGTGACATACATATTATTATGTCCATTTGACAAATAAGGAAACTGAAGCTCAGAGAGATTAACTGATCTGCACATAGTCGCCAAACTGATAAGTATCAGTGGCAGGATTTCAACCCAGGCCTCTCCAAGTCTAACAGGTAATCTGTTAATACCACACCGCCTCTCATGCACGCCTACATTGACCTGCGTTGGTATGGGCATGGTCTTGTTCAGTTGGGAGGCAGAGGCTAGACCACGTTACTCTGAAGATCCTAATTGGCACTTTGATTATAAGGTATTTAAAAATCTTATTTATGAGGCCTAGGGCCCAAAGATTTTAATAGAATCATTCACACATGCAAAGAGAATTAGGCCTCCATAAGAGAATGGATTTTTAAACTTTTAAATTAGTACATTTTAAATTTCTATACACGCCATTAAAAGTTCATTTCCCATTGCCGTTCCACGAGCAGCTTTGTCTCAGGGGATTTCAGAACCATTATAGAATGCTTCTGTAATTAACTCAGTTACTGCTGGCGTGTCTTAGAGAAAAGGAAAATCTAGCCTACTGAAAATTATTGGCTATTATCTGGAACATACTGGAATGTTGCATAAATTTTCAAATTTCCCATTTATTTTTAGAGAACAGATTCTGCCATGTAATGACTTTCTACTTCTCAGCTGATGACCTAGTGTTTTGTATTTTGTAATAATAAGAACCAGACTTCTACCTTGGTAATAGAGCTGCCCCAATAGAATATATATATATATATATATATTTTTTTTTTAAGTTCTCAAATTGGTGTTATCGAAATTATAAATTAAGTATTTACAATTTCACTTAAATCAGTCTTCCTTTTCTAATCAGAAATAAGTAGCTGTTTAATTACCCAGGGGAAAAAAATTGTCCCTTCTGTATAGTGGCAATTAAAAATTATAAGCCTTAGAATAGACTCATGAAGCTAGCAAGGACCTCTGAGATCACCTAGTCCATGCCCTCTCCTCTCATTTTATAGATGAAGAGATTGATAAAAACCAATGGCCCAACCTGTGTGTAAAAGCCCTTATTTGAATATCAGGAACATTTACTAAATTTTTATTTCAAATTTAAATATTAGTTCCTACCTCATAGCTTTTTTTTATTTTTTATTTTTCCAGTCTCATTCATAGAATTCACTTTCTTATTGTAGTTGAGCTTTCATGAGATCTGAGGATTGTTTTCCTGTACAAGTAGGCTTTGAATTGCTTTTTTTTTTATATCAGTGCTTCATTGCATAGATGATTCAACTGCAAAAAGGACCCAATCATGGGGCTCCCAAAGCCTGAATTAGGAATACTTTTAGACCACTGGGACAGCTGATGGTTAAGTGACACCCACTTTCTCTACTTCCGTCATTGTTGATGGTCATTATGTATGCAAGGGCCAAGGTTTTCAGCTTGATTTCTCTTTCACATTAATGAAACAGAAAAGGAAAATAGCACTTAACCACGTGGGCCTGCCAAAACCAAATTAATGGAGAAAGTGGTGAAAGAATTGCATATTTAGTCATAACCCATAAATAAAACGAGTATCGATTTTTTTTTCTCTTGAAAATATTTGACAGATTCCTTGTAAATGTCTTTGTTCCTCGGGAGTTTTATAGAGTTTGTTTGTGGGGAAGAGGGTGCTGTGGAAGGGGAAAGCTGTTAATTGTTGTAAGCGAATAGTTATTAGTTTAAAAAAAATCATTTTTCCCACCAGAAGATCTCTCATTTTGACTTCATGTTAATGGGCTATCTGTAGGTACTTGGAACGGGAATACAAAAGTGGCTATCAAGACTCTTAAACCTGGCACGATGTCCCCAGAATCCTTCCTTGAGGAAGCCCAGATCATGAAGAAACTGAAACACGATAAACTGGTCCAGCTTTATGCCGTGGTGTCTGAAGAGCCAATCTACATTGTCACAGAGTACATGAATAAAGGTTGAGTAACGGTTCTGCCTTTTCTCTCTTCATTGGGACACATAGATAGGGGATTGGTACAATGAGAAAAATGGAGTTGTCTGCTCGCATGCCTCCTGGTTTCTGCCTCAATCTAGTATCCTCATCAGGGAGGCACCAGTTGTGTGTTCATTAGTGAAGAGTATTTTTAAAACAGCTCAGTCTGTTACTGTGAGTTGCCTATGTCCTTCCACATTCTAATGTATTCTGCTTACAAGTGCTGGTGCTCAGAATTTTCCAGTTCTTCCCAGGACCCCATTACTTAGACTACTAGGCCTGCTGGATTAATCTGGATATAGCTGTTTGTATTTGATTTTCTTTCTTTTTTTTTTTTTTTTTTTGTTACAGTCCTAAGCACCTTGCATTAGAAACTGCAGTAAAAAAAAAAAAAAAGAAATGTACATGATAACTTTGTTGTATATTTAAAAGGAATAGCAAGTTGTACATAATAGATTTGCAGTTTCATATACAGTCATCTGTTTTATTATATTATGTTATGGAAATGCTTGTTTTATTCCATAAATTAAAAATAAAATAAATTAAGAAAAAAAAAGAAACTGCAGCAGAAGACAAATGAGATGCAGCCTTCACTATTTCCCCATCATATTTCTTCTTGCTACCTTCTTAAATGTACAGATAAATACAGGGCATAGTGTAAAGGGCATTCTTTATTTCTCTTTCTTTTTCTTTTCTTAATTAAAGCAGTATTACTGGGGGTGAGGCCAAGGATTACTTTGTTTTGGAAAAATAAATGAACCAAATAAGAAACAAAAGGTCTTAAAAGGAAAGACATTCTACATCAGAAGACACTGTAGTTCTGTCTCTCCCTCCCACCCCAAGTGCTTTCTTTCAAAAAAGATTTGATTTATTTTTTCCTGGCAGATCTTCTGTCCTTTGTCTCCAGGGTTTATTTCATAAATAACTTGTATTCCATGATTAAAGTTTAAAAAATAAAAGATGACCATTGTAGGCATGTGGCCTCTGCAAATGATTATTTCAATTTGTGGAATTATCCCTGACCTTATTTGGGCCCATTTATAATAACCCTTCTGAAGCTTTGACTATTTTGCTTTTAGCTTTCTGATTTAAGGTTCAGATGATTATGATCTAATTAAGAGGGAATGCCCACTCCACCATATATAAATCTGAATACTCTCTTGACTTAAATTTGTAAATAACCTAAGCTGTAATTTTCCCCATTACTCTTCTTTTTGGCTCAGTGTTTAGCAGGCACGGACTGAGTCATGAAGTTTGTCCCATGCTGCTATGAATAATACTAATAATGATAACAGCAACACCACAGGTCAAGAAAACCTAGGACTGAGTTCTATTTCTGACACATAGAGACTGTGTGACCTCTCAGTACCCCAGGCAACTCACTAAGACTATAAGTTGCAGATCAGGGGCCAGTCTTCATTGTTAGAAGTTTCCTATACTAATGAAATCATAGATCTAATACAAATAATAATAACTTAACATTCCTGTGGCACTTGGAGGTTTCTGGGAAACAATCCTCCCCCAAATAATCTATGTGCAAGCTAGTATCTGTGCCAGGATTTAAACCCAGGCCTCCTGCCTCCAAGGCTGGATTATAATATGTAATCACCCTGCGAATAAACTTATTTTAGTTGAGTTTTAGCTACAGCTTTTTGACCATTGGGTTCACCATCCTTTTGTCCAAAGGGATAAAACTATTCACAAGTTTTTCTTGCTCAGGACACCTTTGTTCCTTGTGGAAACCATTAAGTTGTTTGAAATGAATGCATTGTTCTCTCCATGTATCTATATCCCGTCTGAAAAGAACCCTTCTAGCTCTGTTTCAGTTTGCTTTTCATAGTAAATGGATGCGATGGCACTTTTCATTCACAGGGAGTTTGCTGGATTTCCTAAAAGACGGAGAAGGAAGAGCTCTGAAATTGCCTAACCTGGTGGACATGGCTGCACAGGTATGTGTGATTGACAGCAGGCATCCCGTGTAGGACACACCTATAATAGAGACACGTGGGCGCGTATCCATTCACTCTCTGTTGTGCTTAACAGGTTGCTGCAGGCATGGCTTATATTGAGCGAATGAATTATATCCATAGAGATCTGCGATCTGCAAATATTCTGGTAGGGAATGGGCTCATATGCAAGATTGCTGATTTTGGATTAGCCAGATTGATTGAAGACAATGAATACACAGCAAGACAAGGTGAGTCCTGGTGTGATTGCTAATTATGGTTTCTTTTTAAACAGTTACTCTATCAAGACCCTTTATTGCAACTTCCCCATTATTTCATTTGCCTTTTCCTTCCCATCTAGTCCCTATAGCCTTATAGGCAACTAGGTAGCACAGTGGACAGAAGCCTGAGCCTGGAGTCAGGAAGATCAGAGTTAAAATTCAGCCTCAGACACTTAATGCTGTGTGATCCTGGGCAAGTCATTTAACCTCTGTTCACCTCAGTTTCTTCATCTGTAAAATGGGGATAATAAGAACATCTACCTGCCAGGATTCCTGTAGGGAACAAAGTAGATAATAATTGTAAAGTGTTTAGCACAGTCCCTAGCACACAGTAAGCGCCATATAAATGTTAGCTATTTTATTGTTATTAATTATTATTATTATCCCCACCCCACTCCCCTAAATAAACTATTAGCAAAGTTTAAAAATAGAATTCTTTTGCTGAACTGATCCTCTCCATCCCCATCCCCATACAATATAGTTTTGTATATTCAGCCTAGAAAGGAAGAGAAATTGCTTGCTGGTGGGGGGTCAGCTGGCTGACCCTTGGGCTGATTTTGAAATCACATATTGCTTTTCCTTTGAGCACCTTGGCCTTTGAATAAAAGGATTACAAAAGGCCAAGGGATCTGTGGATTCCCATCATGGACCCACAGAAATGCCTCCCTCTCTCATCCTTTTCTGTCCTTCCCTGAGTCAAATTTATGGAAACAAACTTTCAGCACACATAGATCCAAACTGGTATCTTAAATACTTAATGACTCCAACATATAACCCAATAGGTATTCTAATTAAAGAGATACCAGAGAGACAACTCTTGGGGGCTGTGCCAGCATCACTTTTTTTTTCTAGTTTGTCAATTAATTTTCTATTAAACAACTTCATTACCATATGCAGTTTGGGGTAACAGATGGCCTCTTCTTAGGGAATTTAAGGTTTGTGTTTTGGGGGAGGGGATGATTTCCTTCTTTTTAAATGAAGTCCTATTCCAATTCCAGGCAAGAATGAACAGTGGGTGGACCGAAAGAAAATATCTACATGGAATTTCATATAGATTCTTTTCTTTTGTTGTTATTATTATTTAATTTCTTGTTCCCTACCCCCTACCTCTTTCCATAATATGGGTACAAGGATGGAAGTGGCTTTAGCAGTCTGATGCTATAAGGTTAAATGTCACGCTAATAACCTGACCGGTACAGATGATACAAAACTACTAAAATACACGTAGGTTGGCTGTTTGGATTTTCCCAACACGTGGATGCTCTCATTCTTTAGCCAAGTATGCACAGCCCAGTGCTGAGGCCAGATGGTGCGTTTTGGTCTCTAAGCATAGCAGACAGGCAACCTCGATTAGAGTCGGCAGCCTAGGGAGAAATGGGAATGTGAACTTGAGGCGCGTGAGCTCGGCAGGACAACAGTGAGCAGTCAAGTAGGAAATACCAGCAGGATTAAAACCTGAACACTGTTCGTGAGCTTACCCAGAGGCTAAGGTTTCAAATCATGATTGCCTCAAGTCAGGGAAAGTTTACTAAGCATAAATATTTGATTTGTGAAAGAGATGGAAAATGGCCAGTCTTCATGGTCCCGTGAAAGAGACCATCTATCTTTGTGTTGAGTCTCCAAAACTCAGAGTAGCCAGAGATCACTCTGGCTTAAAACTTGTTTCCTGGGTGGTGTTGAGGAAGAGGAGGGACAGTATTCCTGTACCTTCCTCCCCCCCACTACCCCTTTTTTGGAGTTGCTCTTCTCATCCCTGTCATGCTGTACTAATACAGTACAGTTAAGTGGATTCATTCTAAAAGTAGTCAAATATTCTTGGACCCTCCATGAACAGGTAGATTCTAGGGTCAGTTGTCATCAAAGACAGGGATATGTCCACATATGTAGTTGATGTGTTTAATATTGTTCTTGTTTAGAGTTGTTCATTGACTCCTAACAATAATATTAAGCTGATATTTAAAGATTACAAAGCATTTGAGTACATGATCTCATTTTTGTGGTAAAGCAAAACTATGGGATACAATGGGAAGAGAACTGGATTTGGAGTTGGAGGACCTCGCTTCAAATCCAAAGTCTGCCACCGACATCTAAAGACAAGTCTCTTCACTCCTCTGGGCCTCAGTTCCCTCATCTGTAAAAGGAGGGAGTTGGAAAGATCCCTTCCCAGCTCTGAAATTAGGATCCTATGATCAACACACTAATAACCCTGGGAGTTAGATAATGCAATCCTATTATCTCTATTTTACAGATAAGGAAATGGAGGCTTAGAGAGGGAAAATCACTTGCTCAAAGTCTCGTGGTTAGGAAGTGAGTTGATACTTAAACCCAGTCTTCTGATTCTATAGCCATATTAAATTCAATTCAGCAAACATGTGTTAAATGCCTTCTATGTGCCAGACACTATGCAAAGCATTCTACATCATTCCATCTGTATTCAAGGATTGCCAGTTCATTCACAACATTGATTCAGCAGCCCCCCTCCTCATTCCCCCAGTCCCCCATTATTCCTACACTGCCTATCCATTACCACACTCTCCTTTCACAATCAGTTGAGTCTCACATCACTGTCAGAAGCATCAAGCCTAGGAGGTGGCCAAGATTGGGTGCAGAGATAGATTTTTCACTTGATCTACTTGTGGGATCATAGATTTAAAGATGAAAAGAACTCAGATGTCATCTAATCCACCCCCTTCATTTTCTAGAGGAGGAAACTGAGGCTGAAGGAGTTACGTGACATTTCCAGTCTTCCTTTGCCAGGCTCACAGAATTTTAGAGATGAAGGACACTTAGAGGTCACCTACTCCAACACCCTCATCTTGCAGGTGGAAAAAACCAAGGTCCACAAGAGAAAGTGACTTTACGCAAAGTTCCACTGGTAGAAAATGGTAAAGCCAGGATTTATACCCAGGTCATGGGACTCTTTCCTCTACACTAAACAACACTTGGCCTGAAGCTTCTAAACCTTTTACAATGTCTTCAAGCTGTCACCAAACAATAGGAAATGAGAAGAAATGGACTAATTAGAAGGTGAAATTGAAAAAAGAAGCATAGGGTCTTTCATGAGCAGGGAAAGAAGAATAGAAGCCTGAGGAAAATTAAAGAAACAACTGTCAATGTACCAGAACATTGGAAAGAGAAGAAACATAATGTTCAGACATCATGGGAAAGGAAATATGTGAAATCAACAGGGAAAAAATGGAGAAAATGTGGTTTATGTTGGTGGAAAAGGTCTGGATAGAGAAGAGTAAAGGAAATGGGGTTGGAACTATGGAAAGAGCATTGTCTCTGAAGTGAAAAGACCTGAGTTCAAATCCTGGGTGATGCTTATCACCTGCATGACTTTTCACAAGTTCCTTAACCACCATGGGCTTCTATAAAATGACCAATCTTTCCTACAAGTAAAGAAACAACAAATGGGTTGGGAACACCAGTTTAAGAAAATGTAAGGATTCAGGAAAAGATAGTTAGTGAGCTTTTTTTTTTCTTTAAAAAGAAGGAAAACAAATCACAAGTCAGTTCTTTCTACCTCTTTATTTGATAGTTATTTTTATAAGAAGCATCTTTTAATATTCATCACTGGAGAAGAAACACCCTCATTTTTGAGGAGACTCAGGCAACCTTGGATGATACCAGCTATTTATAAAATTTGTCACACAGATCTGTCTTGCACTGATATTTTCAAACAGCAGTGCCTGGGTGTGCATTCCACTCGTGCATGCTGTAGGCGGCATGCACACTGCATACTTATGTGTCTGTAAGGGATTAATCAGCTACACTTGACAGCTGGTCCACATGCCTAATAATATTTGCAAGTTGAGTTTTATATTACACACAGCTCCAATCCACGCTGTGACTTCAATCATGTAAGCTGTTTGTGGTATACAGCAATGCATGCCAGTTGGAGATATTCTCAAACTAGGATTGGTAACTATTTTTCAGCTCAGTTTTTATGGGTTTCCCTTCTAAGGGTAAAATAAAACCTTGTCTTTGTCTCCTGGGTTTAACTTAGAAGAAGCGTGCACAATGGCCCAGCTGTGATGTCCCTCCTAGAGCCTGCCGCCCAGCTGGGTCTCTGGCCAAAGGTAGAAGAGGCTTGGGGAGGTGGCTGAGATCGGGTACAGAGGCAAATCTGTCTCCATCTGCTTATAGAATCATAAATCTAGAGCTGGAAGGAGCTTAAGAAGCCATCTAGACCAACTGCCCCATTTTACACATGAGGAAACTGAGGCCTAAGAAGATTAATTGAAATGCCCAAGATTATACAAGTAGTAAGCATCAGAAGTAGGATTTGAATTCAGGTCTGCTGACTCCAGAGCCAGTGATAATTCAATGCCTTCTAAAGTCAGCTATTATTTTTAGATTATCTACTATTCTGGATTATTTACATGTCTCCCCCTCCATTGGGCTAGGTGGATAGAGAGTTCAAATACAGCCTCAGATACTTACTAACTGTTGTGACCCTGGGCAAGTTATTTAAACCCTGTTTGCCTCAGTTTCCTTATCTGTAAAATGAGCTGGAAAAGGAAATGGCAATCCCTCCCCCCCAGCATCTTTGCTAAGAAAACCCCAAATGGGATCACAAAGAATCGGATACAGCTGAACAACAACCCCCTCTGTTATAATAATCATAATATAACTAATATTTAATAACACGTTAAAAAGCACTTTGGTAAAGCTCATTGCTGCACAGTGAGTTGGGTAAGTTGAAAGTTCAGAATGATTCCACTACCATAGTGTTATCTCCATTTCATAGATGAGAAGACGGACTCAAACAGGAAAAAGTGATTTTGTCATGGTTATGCAACCATGTGTAACCAGGAGCTGGAGTCTTAGAAAAGATAAATAATCTAGCAATGACTAGTTGTAAACTATATTAATGCTGAGATCTACTGTAATGGGAGTCTCAATTCATGGTAGTACTCCCTCCAACAATGCCAATCATACCCTTTCCATGCCTTCTTGTCTTATGC